GGGGGGGTGGGTTTTTTGTTTTTGTTTTTTTAAAGTTCAGGCCCAAGTCCTAAATGCATCTATGAGCTTCAGATATTCTGCTAATTTTACCTCTTTCAGTATGTCTTTGGATATGCTTAAAGCTCTAATCAACATCTATAAATGCTATGTTTTGCAAATGTGTGACATATCTAGAAAACACATTTTTAAATAAGTAGGAGTCTATACTTCTGCTCTTTCCAGAACTCAAACAACCTAAAGGGTACCGTGTTTTAACTTCATTGCGTACCATTCTTACTTCTCACAGGAGTAAAATCAAGCTGGATCAGTCAAGAATGCAGATCTGGTGCTTTTTAACCAGGCAGAGCAACATGTCAGCACGTTTACACAGGTTACCTAAACAAATCATACATATATGATCACTTTTGAGATTGATTGGCCTGCATGCTACTCAGCTACAATATATTTTTCCCCATCCATTGCAATGTAGTGGAAACATGCACAGCCGCTCTGTAAGCTGAGTCCCATGACTCACGTCACAGCATGGTTGAGGGCAACCCCAACATGTTTCTTTCTTCTTGTTACATCTTTGGTATTTTCTGTACTACTTCCGTGGCGTAACCTGCATGCTTTGTAGGTTTTTATTATTGTTAACTGAATTATTAAGCATCAAGACTGTTCAAGTTTAAAAGAGGTTAACAGCCTATGATTTTATGAAAATGGAAAGGTAACCTTCACTTGACTTTTTCTGTTCATCTGTTGAACCATGTTTTTAGCTGTCGTGTAATTATGACCTTTTTCTGATCATGTTCATTTGACCAATGCCTATGTAATATTACATATATACAGTTACTTGTATGCTAAAATGTTTATATCTTTTGATACAAATTTTCATGTTCACAATGTTTTTATAATTTACATTCCAGTTTTCTCATATAAGAGAAGCTAAAATACAGGATGAAAGATACACTCCTGGGAACAATCATTATCTTTTTTAATACATATGCATAGTCCTTTTGAATAGGGATGTAATAATTTAGTTATATTCTACTCATGAAATTTGTGTATGTCTGTAAGACTGGAAGTTAGAGAATCATATCAATTTTTCTCTTCACCATCAATAATTCTTTCTTTGTGAACTTGGTCCACTTTATTTTTAGAAAGACAGACTTAAAACATGATTGCAAGCAAAAATTCTATCTAGGATTCTATGTAGGTGTCTAAATAAATCTGGGTAGTTTAAAACTATATAAATAAGGGAGTTCAAGCAAGAAAGAAATGTAAAAATTGGGAAAACCCAGGATAAGGCTAAAATTAAGACAGTTGTTGAAAAGACAAAATAGGAGCTAGTATCCTCCCAAACCTCTGAACTCAGGAACTCTAGAATTGTAAAACAAACCTTAATTGTACCAAGCTATGTGTTTCTTATTCCTGATGATCTCTTCTGAATAGTTGGACAGTTTTGCTCCTTGACATTTAGGGGTCATTGAGGTATTCCTTTTCCAAATACAAATTATGTTCACGTGGTTTTGTTGTGGAATCCTGCATTATCTTTCATATATTCTTTTGCACTATATTACATATTGGAAATATTTCAGACCTCACTTTTGTGCCCAGGGGGCCTGTAAGCTTTTCAGAAAGATGGAATGGAAAAATATCTTTCTAAGGACTTTTTTTTAGAAAAGAGTAGAATGTAGTAGTATCCCTGGTGCTAAGTATGGGGGGATGATTCTGATTTGATGGATATTGTTTATGTGACACTGCTCCTGCTTCAAGCTTCTGCTGTCATGAATCTGGACAGGTGTAGAACAGCATTCAACATAGTAAACCAGGGGCTTGTAATCACTTCACTGAAAAATACTTGAATCTTTTTCATTTGGATGTCACATTGTCTTACTGTGACCTTCCTTGCATAATAAGGTGATGCTTTTTTTTTTAATAGATATGCATGCCTTTTTTTTTTTCCTTAAGTTACGTAGAGTAGGAGAGGTAGGTTTTGTTTTTAGTTTGGTGAAAAAACCTAAGTACCTTCTATGGACAATACTTTTGTTTTCTTTAAAATGTAAATAATTTGTAAGCCTTATTTATAGACATACTTACTTTTATTCTTTCAGAAAAAGATAAATAGAAAGATCCCAATAAAAGTGGCTTTACCAACTGTGCTTACACTGAAGAGTACCATACTCAGTGATAAGTCAAACTGATGTTGTAAAGATGATGATTACAAAAAATATGCTTTGTGTCCTTTTTGTTGTTTAATTAAGAGTTGAGACTAAATGAAAAAACGAGATTGTTTTTATTGA